CTCTTCAGTTGTCGACAATACTTCTTTATATGCCCTTTCATGCCACAATGATAACACTCAACATTGGATAACCGGCCGCTCTTACTTTTGCTTCTGTCTCTACCCTCCGGACCTTTACTCTTACTCCTCCCCCTTCTTTCAGTAACAAGAACTTCTGACTGTGATGAAAAGCCCTGTGATTTTCTTCCCATCTCTTCATTTAAAACACTACTTTTCACCATGTCCATACTTATTACTCCATTTGGGGCTAAGTTCGATAACGAAGTTCTAAAAGTCTCCCACGAGTCCGACAAATGTACCAAGAAGCCATAACCCTTGTATCTCATCTTCAAACTTGATTTTCATTCCAACAAGCTGATTAATGATACCTTGGAATGTATTCAAATGATCTGACATAGGTGTTCCATCTTGATACTTCAAAGCCATCATTTGCTTTATCAGAAACAATTTATTATTGCCAGTTTTCGGGGCATATAACGACTCAAGCTTGTTCCACATAGTCCGTGCATGTGTTTCTTCTCCAATATGATTTAGAATATTTTCTTCTACCCAATGTCTAATAAAGCCACAAACTTTTCTATGACATATTTCCCCTTCTAAATCAGTTCTATCTTCAGGCTTCTCAAGTGAAAAAACAGGAAGATAAAAATCCTTCACATATAAAACATCTTTCATCTTCCTTTTCCAAACTTGATAATTTGAGTCATTCAAGGTCACCATTCTACTTGTACTAGTTTCCATTGTTCAACACAAGACCTAATTAATTTTTAACCTCGCTCTGATACCACTTTGTTGGGATAAACGCTTAAATTTATGGACCAATTATCCCCTCTTGTGTGAACCTAGTAGGAAATAGTAAGTAAAAATAATAATCCAAACAAGCACAGGACACAAGTAATTTTAACGTGGAAAAACCCCCTCAATGTGAGGAGTAAAAAACCACGAACCGAAGTCAAAATCTCCACTATAATCAATAATAGGTACACCAAGTTCTCCCTAGCAACAACTAGAGGCACACAATAATAATATCTCGAGACAATAAATCTCGGCAAACAAAGGGAATAAATCGGGGAAGAAAATTAGAAAGATCTCACTTAGAAAGTGGCACCAACTACCCACTATATCTGACTGTACGCAGCTCCAAAAGAAATCTCCACAGTCCAGATCGACGACCCTCGTGTTACGAACACGCTGTCAAAATTTCACCTCGATCGGACCACGGATCGACCTCCGATAGTGCAAAAAACGTCACTGTACGGAATTGAATTTCTTTTCCTTTTTCTTTTCTGTTTTCTCTCCTCGATCTACATGCATAGACTTTCCCTCTCTCTCCTCAATTGTATGTTTACCGGCTGCACCTTAATATTATATATATATATATATATATATATATATATATATATATATATAAACCCTAAAACATTAATGGCCCATGTGGACCTAAAAGTTGGGCTTTTCACACAATGTGAAAAATACCCAACAGAAACTACAGAATTTGTCGCCGTTGTCCGTCTTCAGCGACGACATGCTTTTCTCGTCGCCGAAAGGACCTGAAATGCAGTAATTTCATTTCACCTTTCGACGACGAAAGCAGGTTTCATTTCTCGTCGCTGAAACACCTGTTCTTCGACGACGACATTCTTTTCTCGTCGCCAAAAGGCCTGAAAAGAGAGGCAAACCTGCGGCTACGAACGGACAAATTTGTTGCCGAATGTCCCCATTTCAGCAACGAAACTTAATTTTGTYGCCCAAACTATCAAGTTTCGGCGACAAAACTTTTATTTCGTCGCTAAAACACCTGATTGGGCAACGAACTTAATTTTCGTCGCCGAAGAACCCTTTCGGTGATGAAATTTTCTTTGATCGCCAAAGACTCCGTCGTCAAAAATCAAAATTCTTATAGTGATATTATATTTAAATTTGAAGCATATGCTTATAGAACCTCAAACCTTAAAAAGAGAAAAGTAATATTTTGATTATTAGTGGAGTTATGTTGATGCCAACATATTTGGCAATAATAATTGAGAGTTGATATTTCATTTTTCACTCATTAATACAATACAATAGGAAGGAATACAAAATTTTGTGAGAAATTATTTCAGATATAATAATTACAAAGACAAAACGTGATATGTTACAAATCAGATTCAAACTCCTCCCCCGATTGAGTTGGGTTTGATTTCTTCATCAAGATCAATTATATAATATTGCAAACTACCAAATAATAATTTTAATAATGATAATACTAATAATTCGACCAAAAAAAAACCTAATAGTAGTGGTTCAGTTTCTGTTCTTGCACTTCTCCAATGCTCGTGGGGCTGCAAAATTAAAAATCCATTCATTAATTTACACTTTCCAAGAATATCATTTAAAAAGAAAAGAAAATTGGACCAAGAAAAAACTTATAGTTGGGAAATTAAGGATGTTCCACTGGAATAAACTTAAAATTTTAGAGAATGAAATAGATATTTTAAAAATTTAGTAATCAAAATAGAATAACATTTGAAAAGTTTAAAAAAAATGCAATTTAAACCTGAAGTAAAATCATAATCATAATCAAATAATTATAAACAAATAAATGAGTCAAACGATCCTACCTTTTTTTTTTTTCTTGACAATAAAATGATCCTACTTCTAAGAAATAAAAAACAAAAAATATTATCCTAGTAGTTTTAAGGGAAAAAAATCTGTTATCCAATTTTTAGATTTTGTGCTATCAAAAAAGACATATTATCTCTATTTAAAATTTCTAGATTCAATATTATTATTATAAAAAATAATAATAATAAATTAAAAATAAAATAAAAACAACCCTAAAACTTACCAAGTCCAATGGCCTCAGATCCTTTCATTATCCTCAAGCGTTTGCAGGAATCCACAAACATGCTGTCGAATTAAACAATAGGTTAATAATGCATATGTTTTATACATTATTTAAAATGAAAAAAAAATAAAACATCATTTTTATGTCTTGCGAGTTAAATAACACTTTAAAATCTTAAATTCGAATAAGTTATAAGCATATTTGTAATGTAACTTAGTATAACTAATTTTGTGAAGATTTAAGTTTTGAAAATATAATAACTACCTTCATTTGTTAAGATATTGTATTTTTAGAAAATTAATTACTTAAAGAAAATATTGAACATATATATAATTATTAATAATTAATTAGCTTCGACTGGCGGATAACTCTTTTGTATTTTTTTTCTTTTTCAAATTAAGCTTAATAAACACTACTTCCATAGATGTGTTATTTATTTTTGTTATTGAAAATATTCAAAAATGTAAATCAAATTTTGAAATTATAAAAAAAAAATTAAAAATTCATTTTTTGATTAAGAATTGAAATTTATTTTTAAGAAATGTAAAAACATGCAAAACAAACCAACATAGTTTTTAAAAATGGAAAACGAAAACGTAAATCGGTTTAATTTCTTTCGATATTTATATAAATAACATAAAATAAATAATAGAGTAGAAGTTAAAAATTACAAGAGAGAAAAACTCCCCGACAAAATAGTCAAACTCATGCTAATTTTATAATATTTTTTCTTCATAATGATGTTACATTTGCAACCACCACTTGCATCCTTTTTAAAATAAAATTGAGTGAAAGAAATAAAATAGATGAAATTAGAAAGAACTTACTCCCAAGGCACATCTCCCACAAGCATCCAGTCTCCATCTTTGTCTTCATAAGTAGGCACATAATCAGACCCATTCAGCACATCTATTAATTTGCTTTCATTCATGTAATCTTTCATCTTCTGTGGCCCACAATTACCTGATTTTTCAATTTCAACCCCAAATCCATTATTTTTTTTTTCAAGTCTATTTAATCTCTAAATTTTAACAATTTAAAATTATCTTGACGTGACATTTGAACCAATTTTGACCAATTTGACACAAGACACGATTGTTAGGTGTCGTGTAACATTGATAGCTTGATAGAATAAAGTGGTATGGGTCATGAGGGGCCGAACTAGTAACTATCACCGGCCACTTTATTTTGTTTAGTTGTTCGCTTGGTAATGTTACATTTGTGTCAAATCAATTAGCATTTATTCAATAGACATGTAGGTAATGTTTCGTCTTTGGTTACAATTTCTTTAATATATTTTTACATTTCTTAAAAACAAATTTAAATTTTTAACCAAATCTCAAAAATTAATTTGTGCATTTTTAAATTTTGGCTTAGATCTTTAAAATGCTTTTAAAATGCAGATAGAAAATTTGAAATACATAGGTGAACTCTAAGGGCTAATGTTTAAAAGGTGTTGGAATTTAAAAAAGGTGTCTAATACATGTCTAAAACTTCTAAATGTAACTTTCAATTTTATATCTAATAAATCTCTGACTATCAAATATTTTTTAAAACTTCAAAACCTATTAAGCATGAGACATATTAGCCACAAAATTGAACTTTGAGAGACATACTAGAAACAGATCATAAACGATAACGTTACCAAATATGTCCGTAGCTACCTAAGACGTTGTAAAGTTTTGGTACCTATTACTATTAGACAGAACTCTAAAACACTTCAAGACTAAGAGTAATTAAAATTGATCCATATTCAAAATTATAATCTAACATTAAAATTTTTTTAAATTTTATTTTATAGAATTAGTTGGATTATCGTACCTGTGGTGAAAGAACCGAACATATTGCTTAAGGCATTGGAAAAGTCTCTGTAGCTTCCGTACATCTTCAAGTCCACTTTGCGTAAGTAAGGCGCACCGTCCATGCTCACTTTAATGAACGCCGCCGCACCGGCGCTGCAGCCGCCGCCGCCATTCTTGGTTTCCTCTATACTCTTCTTTGGAGCTACAATGTTCCTTCTCAACGACTTCACCGGCGGCCAACCCACAACCTGCGCCCTGAAATTTAAAAAAAAAAAATTAATTAATTTGTTTATTGTTTAATTACTATTTTAGTCTATGTGATTTGTATTTAACTTCAATTCAACCTTTATAATTTTAGAAGTTTTAATTTAGTCCATCGAAATCTTTGCAAATGTCCTTAAATCTACCAAATACGGACGTCTTTGAACAATCGATGACCTTTGCCTCTCTTTATCATGTCTAATGAAAATATGTCGTTAATTAAGTTCTGGCACATCTCATCAAAGAATTTAATAGATCATGGAGACTAAATTAGATTTTTTTTTTAAACTTAAATTGGTAAAATACTATTTTAAGCCATCAGGGCTTTATATATGTATATATTTTAGTTTCTATATTGTAATAATTAAAATTAATCCATGTACTCTTATTAAATCTTTAAACTAGTCCTCATCATAAATTTGAAGTTGATTTTTATCTAATTTGATAATAAATTATTAACAATTCTCATTAAAAAAACCACAATAAGAATATGTTTTCCAAATTTCCAAAAGAAAGGCTGATAGAGACTAAACTTTAAAAAAATAATAATAATAAATTAACCGTAAATTAACTTTAAGGACTAATTTTAAGTTTTACCGCAAGCAAATGAATTAAATTTAGAATTAAAAAGTACTCCAAATTATAATTTATCCTTAAAAAGTATCATTTAGAGTTTTATTTTAATTTAGGCCTTGGTCAAAGTAAGAGTTTTCTTTTTTCCATTTTTTTGGTGGGACATGTTTGATATATGTATTGGTGTTGTCTTTTCCTTGGCTTTTTTAATTTTGAAACTTTTTATAGAAAGAGGAAAAGGAAAAGGAAAAAAAGATTCCATATGTTTTGTAGTTTTCTTAGGTTTTCCCGACAACCAAACAAAGTTTTCCTTGAAATCCCAAACCACAATTATTTTGTTTTTCCTTTACTTGCTTCTCCTTCCTTCCTCTTTACAACTCAATTATTGGTACCCATACAAACATTATCGTGAACCTTAATTTCTCAATTAGTCTAACAAATCAATTAAAATTACATTAATTAATAACTAATTATAAACTTAATCAATAATTACTCTATTATTCTTTTAAAAAATTTACGCACAGCTTAACCAATCAAAAGATGATATCGTTTTAAAGTAGTAGTTTCTTTTTTTTTTGACGGATTTAAAGTAGTAGTTTCAAATTGCTAGAGAGAAAAAAAAAACAAAATGAAGTATGCCTCTATTTAGTTTAGTACATTTTGTTTAACTTTTGATATTTAAATTTGATTAAAGTTGAGTCATTATTTTTCCTAGATGTGTTGTTCTAAGTACACAATTTTATAGTTAAGCAAAAGCTATTTGAAACACTGATTTAACTAACCTGTTTTTTATTGATTAATTTGGGGAGTGGATTTTAGTCGTTGGTGAAAAAAATAATCCTATAACTAGTGTATTTAAAAAAAAATGAAATTTCAGAAGGGTTATCAGATTTACTAATAAAAAATATATTTTGTGGGAATATAAAATCATAAAGCTACCGAAATACAAAATACAAAGGGTTAAAATAAGTAATACTGTCTCAAAAAAAATTAATAATAATAATAATAATAAGTAATAACCATTTCAATATAATTTTCGTACCCTAATAAAATTTCTAATGATTTATTTTCCTCATTTAAATAAGGAATGAAACCAGATCTTCCACTCCGGGAGAAATAAAAAAAGAAGCAAAAAATTACGGAAACTAATATATTTATTTTAGTTTTATTTTCTTTTTTCAAAATTTATGTTCATCTACTAATGTAGCTTTCTTAAATTGTTTTTTCAAGAATAAAATAATTTTTTTAAAAAATTAATTTTCTTTTTCTTTCCTTTTTTTTTTTTAATTTTGAACATTGACTAAGATTTTGAAATTATTTTTTTCAAAATAAAAATTATCGTAAGGAAAAATAGAGAGAGAGGGATTGTACTTGGCCGGCGGAGGCTTGGGAAGATCTTTAGCGACGGAGCTCGAAACGGCAATTTTGTGTGTCGTTTTATGGCCTTCGTCGGGTTTGGACAAAAGATTGAGCTTCAAATCCACAGTTTCAGTGAAACCCCTCTTCTTCACGGCGTCTCCGTCGCCTCTTCCGCCGTCGCCGCCGGGCAGCCCCAGCCGGAGCTCCGTCTCTTCAAAGTCGATTAAGCTTCCCATTTTCACTTTCTTCACAATATCTCTCTATCTCTCTATTTCTCTTAATTTCTCTCTCTGGTTTTTTTTTTCTTTTTGTTGCTTTTTGGATGAGGAGAAAGTGAAATATTTTAAAGTGGGTTTGTGAGTTGTGATAATGAGAATAATAAAAAATAAATAATGAAAAAGGAATTTTTCTATTTTTCTCCTTCTAAGTTGGACCCCATTTATTAAAACCAAAGTTGAGTTGACCCACTAATTTAATGAATGAAATCAAGTTGATTGAATTATAAGTACCTTCATATTGGGACAAGAGGGGCCCATAGGTCTTAAATTTTTAGGATCCTTTGTACATATTACAACATTACGGTTACTATATTAAAATTTTATTAACAACCTTTCTTTTCCTATTTAATTTATAATCTTATGTGATTTACAGAATTGTTTGTATTTTGAACGTGACTTTGATACTGGTGAAAATGTATGGAAATACAATCGAAAAATTTTAAGTTCGATATTCATGATCTTAAAATATTGAAACTCTTCGGATGTTGTGAAAAATGTCTCTCACTCTCAATTGCCCAAGAGCGGTGATGTGCTCACGACCATTTTTAATGCGCGACCTTCAAAATGTGTCTTCAAATACTTGTCATGTTTATTGATGATCCAAAAGAAAGGTCAAGGAACCAATTTCTATAATTATTATGTTCAAGTTCCTAGCATCATGCTACGTGGATACTGCCACCAACCACTATATAAGTTGTAACTCTCATCCTTCAACTGGTCCTTCAAATAAGGAGGGACAAATAATTCTTACCCTTAATCTTTTTTCTTTCTTGAGTTCTACCACACTCTTGAAGCATATTATTCAATATTCATGTGTTCCTTTGCTCAAACGTCACATAAATGATTACGTCACATAAATGATTACGGAAAGCTTGATAACTCGTGAATAAATAGTTGTTTTTTTCTTATTATTACTATAAATTTGGGTTTTCAAGACATTTAAATTAAAAATGTCATGGGAAGTTTTTGTGACATTTGTGTTTGACATTTGGTATCTCCCATCAAGGAAATAATATTAAGGAAAGAAACATTATTAATTTTTTAATTATGGCAGTAAAAAAAATTTCATGAAAAAGAATATAATGCATCACACAACAACGGTATTTGTCAAGAAAAATTCAATAAAATTCATACTTTCGTTAAGATAAAGGTAATAGTGATAGTTATTAATCATCATGAAAACCTTTATACTTTCTTAGAGGGAAAAAAAAATAAAGAAAACCTTTATATTGACAGTTTTTAACCGTCACAATAATCTTTGTATTAACATTTTTAGCTATCACGAAAACCTTTATATTGACAACTTTAACCATCACGAAAACTTTTGTGAAGCCCCAATAATAAATATTTATGCAAGGAAGGGCAAAGAGGGGAATTCACCTGCTTCAGTTAATTATTGGTCTTTATATGCTTTTTAGTGGTTGTTAAAAGGATTATGTTTGGCTAATCTTCCCAAAGTTGTGATAGAAAGAGGACCAACACTCTCTCTAAAAGTTTGGAGGTTCTTTTGTATTGCCTTATGGTTTGTTTCATGTATTTTATGCTTAAATATCAGTATTTGGTAAGGAAAAACCTTACAAATCGGTAAAAGAGAGGTCATCCTGGGAACTTGGGAGCATATCACAAAAGAAGCTTGAAGATAGGATCGAGTTAACCGATAAAGGGATTCGAAACATGAAGAGTAAGATATCGCAAGTGAATATATCAAAATGTCGAAAGTTTAGCAGCGCAAATGGAGGAACAGAAGAAAGAAATGCAAAAAGTCTTTGCTAAGCTAATTGTCGAATATGGTCGTAGGCAGAACAAAAACAACTCCTTCGACAATTGGAAGAAGAACCCTCGTTGAGGAAGAAACAAGTTGAAGAATTCGAAGACTCGTCACATCCGAAGTGGAGGGGTGAAAAAGAGGTTAGAATATCTGCGAAAGCAAAGGAAGGTATGTTCAATCGCAACAAGTTTAAGATAGTGGAAATGCCCATGTTCAATGGGAATGAGCTCGCCTCTAAATTTAAGGGCGAAGCATTATTTTGATATACACAAGTTATCGGACTTAGAGAAGATGACAGTCGCAGTGATTAGTTTTGATGGCAACGCATTAGTATGGTTTAGATGGAACAATAGACGTCAACCCTTCAAAGACTGGGACGATCTAAAATTGAGAATCTTTGAACATTTTGGGATCTTTGCAAGACACTAGCTTATTTGCCTGTTTTTTCACGGTAAGACAAGAAGGTACAATTGCACACTACCAGAATATCTTTGAAGCGTTGCTAGTACCGCTCCCTTGCCTAATGGAAGAAGTTGCCTAATGGAAGAAGTGTTAGAAAACACTTTCAAGAATGGGCTAGACCAGTGGTTAGGGCAGAGGTTATTTTGGGACCTGGTAGGCTAGAGAAAATAATGAGGACCGCTTAATTAGTTGAGGACCAACAAGTGGCAAAAGGGGCAAGTCTAACAAAATAGTTGATCCCCACAATAAGTCGCCGGTTGCACCAACTGCCGCCCACAATAACCCACCCACACGTATGATAATCCTAATGGGTTAGATGCCATCTGCATGAAATGACAACTCATTCAAACATTTCATCGACACTGAGTATCAAGCTCGAAAGAAAAAAGGATTTTATGTTGATGTGAAGAAAGATATACAGTAGAGACGTATTGGTGCAAGAACAAGGAACTCTATGTGATTGTGATACACACTAACGCATCTGACACGGAAATGGATATTGAAAGCGAGGAACCCAACATCGGCGAACCCATTGTGATGCAAGCAACAGAAGCGGGGTCCTTACTCGATTGTGGGTTTCTCCATTCATGAGAAGATCAATTTGAGGGGGAAGATCGATCAAAGCGGGTATCCTGTTACCAAAGCTCTGAACCAGCACTATAAGGGAATCATTTATATACTCACTCAATGAGGAGAAAAATACACATTTTGCATTTTCTCATATTGAGTAGCGGTGAATTCCATATTGTGTAGAAATGTTCCCAGTTCCCCAATCGAATATGTTTCCAAAACAGTAGGCTTATTGGGCGAACACTCTGGTTACCCTCACCTATGTGAATTAAAGAACACACTCGCATAGGTAGGAGTTCACAACACACTCAGGATTAAGATTAAACGAGCATATAATCATCTTGGTGATGTGTTTGTGTTAAATTATAGTTTATTTTATTTTAAAGGTTTCCTATTTTATTTAGGTTAGGGTTTTATTGTTCTAATAGGTAAGTGTTTCCTTATCCTAATAGGCAAGAATTTCTTTTTAGTTTCTTCTTTGTGACTGCTATTTACATAGCCTTGTATCAATCATTTGTGGTAATCAAGGAAGAATTATTTTCTTTTCTTATCAATTAACATGGTATCAAAGCCAAGTTTCCTCTGAAATATTTGTGGGAATTAGGGTTTTGTGTCCATTAGGATTTTGTACCCATTAGGGTTTGAAGTTTTGAACACTATTTTGCAAGTGTTCATTGTACCTAACCCGCTGCAGGAACCCGCCGCCGACCATCGCCGCCAACCGCCGCCGCCGCCGCTGCCGCCGTTTGCTTATTCGTGTGGCTGCTAGGGTTGTTGTCGTAAAGGGTGGCTGCTAGGGTTTTCAAAGGGAAATTTAAACATTTGTTGGTTTGGTTCACAATTTCCGGTTCGGCTTGGTTTAGTTTCTAACCTCTGTTCAGCTTAGCCTCGGTTCAGTCATTTTTGGTCCGGTTCTACTTAGTTTGGTTCTGACGTTTTGGGTGGGGTAGCATCTCTTAGGGTTTCTGCTTCAGAACATTTGTCGGTTCGGTCGGTCCGGTTCAATCAACCCGATTCGGACAGTTCGGTTCAGATAGTTCAGTTCAATTAATCCAGTTCAGCCAGTTTGGCAGTTGGTTCGATTCTCACAGTGGTTCGTTTAAGTCATATCTGGTTCGGTTCAGCATATTTTGGTTCAATTCAACTGGTTTTGATTCGGTTCAGCCCTCTTTCGGTTCAGTTTAGTGCTGCTTTTTCAGTTTTGTACGTGGTTCTCCATTTTTTGAGTTGTTGTTTAGTCTTGGTATCAATGTCACAATCGTCCAAAATTACAAAAAAGCTGGACATACATGAGATCAAACAATTAAGGAGCTTCTTAAAAACTTTGGATAATGTTCATTGTCAAGGTATAGGTTCGGTGACTTTGACGAGTACAACTTCTCAGCCTAAACATTGTACATGGATTATTGATTTTGGTGCAACAGACCATATGACGACTAGTAGCTGTCATTTTATCTCTTATAGTATTTGTCCAAGCAATAAGAAAATTTCTACAGCAGATGGTACCTTGGTAACAGTGGCTGGTCAAGGAGACATCAAGATAAATTCAAACATTACTTTAAAGAATGTGTTTCATATACCATGTTTAACTGTTACTTTGATATCAGTAAATAATTTCATCAAAGATCCTTGGTAACAGTGGCTGGTCAAGGAGACATCAAGATAAATTCAAACATTACTTTAAAGAATGTGCTTCATATACCACGTTTAATTGTTAATTTGATATCAGTAAAGAATTTAATCAAAGATTTAGGTTGCAGAGTAATTTTTTCTGATTCTTCTTGTATTTTACAGGACTAGGGCAATGGGAAGATTATTGGACTTGCTAATGAAAAAGATGGATTTTATTATCTTAATGAACTTGTTGATCAGACTAGTGTTTCAGTCTTCTTCACCTCACAAACTCATCATCCTTCAAGTAAACTTTTGTTGAATCATTATAGACTAGGGCATCCTTCATTTGGAACTCTTAAAATATTGTTTCYYGAYTTRTTCCAAAATCTTAATCCKGAGTCAATTCAMTGTGAAGTTTRTGAATYCGCTAAAYACAAGCRTGTAYCCTTCCCTAGTAATAATAAACGAATATCAGTTTCTTTCTCTCTTATTCATACTGATATTTTGGGGTCCCTCCAATGTTCCAAATGTTTCCAAATTTTGTTGGTTTATTGTGTTCATTGATGACTGTACTCGAGTCTCATGGGTTTATCTTTTAAAACAAAAATCCGATGTTGGTTCTACCATTCAAACATTCTTTCATA